CTCGTACGCTGCTGCCACTGCCAAGGACGAGAGCAGACTGCAGACTATCATTCACTCCACTGAGAAGCTGACTGGCTGCACTCTGCCCTCCCTCCAGGACCTGTACACCTCCAGGACCCTGAGACCCCTCCAACCCCGGACACAAACCCTCTGAAACACTCGTCTGTGGTAGGACGCTGCAGTCCATCAGGACCAACAGCTCACAGCATGAGAACAGTTTCTTCCTGTGTGCAGCTGGACTCATGAACAAGGCCTGGGACGACCTCTGACAGACTCTCATCCTGCCCCCACAGACACTACACCTGACTTTACTGCACATCTTTACTGCTCATCTTCTTATTTTCATCTTCATGCTCCAAAACAACAAGGCAGATTCCTTGTATGTTAAAACTTACTCAGCAACAGACCTGATTCTGATTGTTGATGAGTAGTTTGATCGCGTGCAGCTACACTCTGTATGTTAGTCTCTGTCTGACCACAGCTCAGTGGGTAAAACAGACAGAAGCTTTCACACATGCTGATATAAAACTGGTCCACTTCCTGTCAACTAAACCGCAGCCACCTACAGGAAGATACAGCCGGTTTGTTTGAACATCATCATCAAGTCATTTTGTCATAAATCCAACAGATTAAAATAAATGTCTTTAATCTCTGTGATGAAACGCGTAGCTTCAACTTTCACCTCCTGCAATCACAACAATGAACACACACACACCCATCTGTTTTATTCTGACTGAACACAGAAATCTAACAGTGTGTAGAGATGAAACTACAACACTGCCAACCACAGAGGAAGGAGGACGTTTTTTTTTACATGATGTGACCATAAACTGATCACACCTCTCATCAACACGTAGATCTCATTTCACCAAGTAACAGGATGGAGGAAACATCTCTGCTGCTGCTGCTCTGTAAGTATCATCTGTTTATGTTTCTAAAATCATCAAACTGAAAGAAATACAAGAACAATGAGTTCTGTAACAATCCTGTAACTTTAACGTATGTTTATTTGAAAGGTTGTGACGATGCCTTTACAGCCTCTGTTTCATTTATGAGACTGCTGCTGTTGAACTTTTCTTAAAAAATAGATCAGTGTAATGTCCTGATGAGGTTCCTCCTCCTCTCTGTGTTCATCAGTATGTGATACAAAGATCTTTCTGTGTTGCTGCACTCAGGTGTTCGTCAGTTGTGTCGAAGGTCTCGTTGTATCACAGCCTCAAACTAACCTGAGTGTTCTTTGTCTTCAGGTCTGACCTCACTGCTGAGCTGCACAACAAACCAAGGTCAGTAAACTTCTTCTGTCAAATCTAAAACATGGCTGAGTCTCTGTAGACAGAAGATGTAGTGTGAGATTTACAACGTGTCAGAAAGTTATTGTGAGAGTTTAGACTTGTTGATGTGAGAGCAGTTTGTCGTTTAGAAGTCTGAGCTCTCATTTATTCACAGCTATATTAAAGATGTTCACATTTTGCATTCTGTCTGAAACTCTGTTTGGGAGGCACTGAGGTTCTGTCAGCCTTCCTTCAGTGTAAAAAAAAAAAAAGGAAAAAAAAAAGGGACCCAGACAGCAATAAGGACAGGGCGGCAAATTATTACCAGGAAGTGGAAAGCTCCTGGAACAGCTACTTTTCAAGATGGGGAACTGAAATGGGAAAGGTTGCTGCGTATTAAAGAGTGTCATATAGGTATTGCAAAAGGGCAGAAAAATGTTGGCTCAAATGATGAAGATGTGTTGCTCTGTAATGGCTGCCATTTTGAACCTTCAGGGAGATATTAAATCTTTAATTGAAAATGTAAAAGATCATCATTTTATTTTCTAACTATCACATCCTCCTCTTCCTCCCTGCAGCCTCTCTGACTGTGAGTCCCAGCAGCTCTCAGATGTTTGAAGGACAGTCTGTCTCTCTGAGCTGTGAGGAGGACGACAGCTCTGCTGGATGGACTCTGAGGAGGAACACAACCAAAGACACCAGAACTGAATGTGGAACTGACTGGGGAAGATCAGCTGGTTCTGTCTGTAACATCAGTTACATCTTCTTATGGCACAGTGGAGTTTACTGGTGTGAGTCCAGAGAGGGAGCAACCAGTAAGAGCATCAACATCAGTGTCACTGGTAAGATCAGACTGTGGAGTCAGTGTTGATGAAGCTGTGTGTAAATGGATGAAATGCTGTAGTTTGTCTCTGTGTTGAGGTGGATCAGTGATCCTGCAGAGTCCTGTCCTCCCTGTGATGGAGGGACATGATGTCACTCTGCACTGTAAAACAAAGACGTCCTCCAACCTCCCAGCTGCTTTCTATAAAGATGGCTCCTTCATCAGGACTGAGCCTGCAGGTCACATGACCATCCGCCATGTAACCAGGTCTGATGAAGGCCTCTACAAGTGTGACATCACAGGTCATGGAGAGTCTCCACCCAGCTGGCTCACTGTCACAGGTCAGGAGGTTACCTTTGATTTCAGAAGTTCATTCATCCAGATATTCACCTGACCAGGTGGGATTCTCTCTACAGGTACACCTACAACCACAGCTCCACCTCCTACATTGACCACGCCCAAATCTACAGCCACGCCCACATCTGCAGCCCCGCCCACATCTGCAGCCCCGCCCCCTGACTCAGACCACCTCCACCTTGTGGTCAGAGTGCTCCTCCACCTGGTGGTGTTCTGTCCGTACTGCATCTCCACTTTCATTATGGTGTCTTTATATCGACAACGACCCACAGGTATCAATCAATCAATCAATCAATCAATCAATCAATCAGGTGTTGATGACTGACACTTGTCTCTAACAGAACTCTTCATGTGATCAAACTGGAACGCTGAATGACTAAACATATATTCTGATATTTGTATTAATTAAATTATTAAATGTGCCTTAAAACGACAGAAAATGCCCTTTTAACAAAATATTTCAGATGTATTAAAATGTTGAACATTCTTCCATGCTATTGGTTGGCGTTATACCCACCCATCTTTGACATAGCAACTGCGTTGGACTCTCCCATGCCGATGATGTGGTCATGTGAGCTCTTGTTAGTGGGAAAGTTTTGGCTACATACATAACACCTGTCTTATACTGTTTGACTGTATAACTGGTCTGTTGCCAGATTATATGTAGCTACAGGCTAAAATGTCTTTTGCATTAATTTCTTTGTCTTTGTCATTACTAACAAGATCTTTAGCTGTTGTATATTATTATTATTATTATTATTATTATTATTATTACTATTATTATACCATGGTCTGGGTGAATACTCTTTTCTGATTGGTCAGCAGGTATGCGTTAAAACCGTTTAATACACACGTAGTTCGGCTCAACTTTATAACTGTCTAAATTCATCCGCTAACCAGCCTGTAACCATGGCAACATTAACGAGCGCAGCTGTCAAATTGTCAACTGCCGAGGGAAAAAACAAACAGAAATGGCTGATTTTAACATTTCTTTTAACTTATTTGGAGAATACAAGGATTTTGGAGAAAGAAAAAAAAAAAACAAGCGAAAAACGGCACAACTGGCATGGTTGTAAAAGGGACTAGTTTATTCCTTGTCATGACAATGGTAAGCTCTTGCTTCAAAAACTTTCAATTTTGAGTACAAAGTTTTCACCAAAAGTTGTCGAATCCTTTTATTCCTATAGGCAAATGACCATGGTATAAGCAGGTTAATCCACTAGGAGGTGTGCTCCAAACGGTTTTAATGCACTTCGCGGAGGCAACTACCCTCCGTTGCGCGTGGGGTAGTTCTTTGCCCCCACGTCGTGCATTAAAACCGTTTGGAGCACACCTCCTAGTGGATTAACCCTTACTTATTATCACCTTGATTCAATGGCAGCCACGTAATGACTAAATGTGACACCAATTAGAGATTCACAGATCATTTCAACTTTTAGGTCAAGTCAAGTCAGGATTTATTTCTAGAGCACATTTAAAACGACGGCAGTCGACCAAAGTGCTGCACATAGGTGGGTACAGAGTCAAAACAACATCAATAATAAAAATAGAATAGATGTAGAAAACAACGATAAGAAAACAGAGCAAACATTAACATAGCAATTAAAAAAAAAAAAATTGCACATAGCTGAGATAACAACAGGTGACACAGAGAGCACAGAGAAACCATTTAAACTTCAACTCAGGAAGATCATGTGGAAATATTTGATCTGTTTAAACAGTGTGTATGTTAAGGGGGATTTATACTTGTGTGCCAGAGCCTACGCACTTGGCCTACGCCATTGTAAGCCTGCCGCATAGGCACGGGTGGGCTTGGGTGGGCGGCTACCACCCACATGAAACCCTCGCCCACCCAGAGAAAAGAAAGTTGTTGCGCGCGCACAGACCAGAACAACAGTTATAAGCCTGCTAAAGCCAGAGAATAGATCTGCTAGCAATATATGCAGTTTTAAATACCACTTTGTCTGTTTATTAATTGATTTTAACTCATTCTGAGTTGCTTCTGAACCATCCGTGCCTTGCCCGGCAGCCCCTCCCCTGGGAGAGAGTCCGGTGGTCTCCTATGAGCCCAGCCTTCGAGACGGGCAACACTCCGTTAAATGTCGTTCAGATCATCAGAAATATCCCAATCAAAATCAGTAGCATAATAAGCAGATATGTTCCATGTTATTGTGTTTAATTTCAACAACACAGAGAACAGCTTCAAGCTGCATGTGAGCTAACGATCAGGGATTTCACTCTCAGCAGGACGTGACTGCGCATGTGTGTCTACTTCAGAAATACAGCAGTCGGTGTGCGTTTGATTTATTGTACAACAACAACGAAGTTCCACACATTGTTGTGGTCGGCTCAAACGCTGTCAGCTGATTTAAATATCTGTGATTGTTTTTGAATATTGTCAACTGAGAGAAAAACGTCAAAATAATAAATTTTGGTCAAATGAAAAAGAATGAAAAATCATAATATAGAGAAAAAATTACTCATTTGTTCAAAAGAAAAGACAGGGATACTGAAGATGAATATTTACAACAGAAAATCTGAAAACCAGAACCCAGGGAAGAGGATTTGGAGGAAGGTGAACAATATGAAGCAGTGAAGGTTTTGGTAATAGTACTGGTAGGAACTGAAAACTACAGTTGCCTCCTTGAATCTCCTGGCAAAAGTTTCTGCCCGCCCACTTTAATGTGTGCCCACCCACCAGCTAATTTCTGGCTACGCTACTGTTGTGAGCATTTAAACTGGTGTGGTGTGTCTGTGTCACTCTGCAGTTACACCTCCAAAACACTAGTTGGCGGCAGCTACTGCCGTTATCAGCACAAGACTATGGCATTTTACATTGTATAAATTAGCCTAGCGGCTAGCAGAGATTTCCTCTGCTCATATGAAGCCAGGATAAATCACACACAAGACTTAAAATGCTATTTTTGTGGAGGCTTTATTGTCTTCACAATTTATTGTTTCTTATCTGTGAAATTAAAGTAAATCAAAGCTTTGTGAGTTTGGGAAATGGTTTCAGTTTACAGAGACAGACAGGAGGTCTGCGTCACTGTGACGTGTAGTTACATTTCTGGGGAGGTGCTACGGTGTACAGTACAGCGTTGATTTGATGCAAAGTATAAATTCCGCCTTACAGAGACAGACAGATGATCGTATGTCATCAGACTTAACAGTGACTTTGACTTTGACAACAACAAAATGCAGAGTATATCTGCTATCACCCACCTGAAAACTTTTGTTTTTTGCCAGAAGTAATACTGCTTCTTACTTTGAAATGCAACACAGTGGACTTGACTCGTTCAAAGGTGACACCTGATGGCCAAATGCATTATAACACATCACAAACACCAGAGCTAAAAACCTGTATGCTCCGCATCTACTTTGTAGTTTACATATGAAGCAGTGTCTGATGCATTTGTCCATTTGTCAAATAAACAAGTAAATAAAAAAAATAAATATGAAATTATGAGTCTGAAAGCTTTGACAGCTTCTCAGGTGATAATAGAGTTGCATAGAAACCTGCTGGCTTTTGTTTGTTTGTTTGTAATACAAAAAAAGTCTTTCACGTGGACTCACATATATCAATATATCAAATTTTAAAGCATCACTTTCTCACTGCAACATGAAACAGCTTTTATGGACTCTCAGGACACAGTTTATGACAATGAGGTCATGAGACATATTGCTCAAACTCATGTGAGTTACTTTAAAGTATTAATGTGCAGCTGAGGTAAATCTGATTATATAGTGGCATTTAGTTTGGAAAGCTCTCAGTGGAACCTGCTTAGTGTTGGTGTTTTCTTTTTCATTTAATTCAATATATATATTCAAATATACATCCACTGCATATTTCTCCTACAAATAGTTGCAGGTCAGTGTAACGGCCCTGGCAGCTAACAGAACAGTGGCAGCTGCTGCAGGATATCAAAGGCAGCTGAGTCTGCCTCCGGAAGTGCTGCTGCTGCTGCTGCTGCTGCTGCTGTTGCTGCTGCCACTATTTGAGCTTGCCCCTGCTGAATGTGGATCTATTTTTGGGTCCTCAATAAGAAAACGTTTGGGAACCCTTGCTCCACAGCTTCTCATTTTCATACACAAGGTGGACAACATACCATAGCTTGTGTG